TATATATATATATATATATATATATATATATATATATATATATATATATATATATATATATATATTTATATATATATTACTGCATTCCGTATATATAATTTTTGTATGGAAAATTAAATTTTCCATAAAAAGATCCGTAAAATAGAGGCATATGAACCGAAATTAGTTGTTATCCCGAAATACCTGGCGTAGATGGCGTCGTCTCTTAAACAACAGAACTCTCCAGAATGCACATGCGAAAAAGATGAGAAAAACGACCGAAAAATCATCTTCACATTTGAATGTCTCCTCGCGATGGACTAATTTCACATTTGAATGTCTCCTCTTCTCCCTCTGTATCCAATTCTCCAACAAAATTGCGGAACAGATTTTTCGAGTTAGGTTTAATATATAGATTTGAAATTCCAGGAAGCGAAGAAAATGGAATACCAACAAAATTGCGGAACAGAACTTTCGGGTTAGGTTTAAGATTTTTGAAATTCCCAATCAGTATAGAGAGATCAACTTTGATGAGGAAGGGAAGAAAATGGGATACGCGTTTTGGAGGGTCTGGCCCAATTTTTGTTATAAATGGGATTCCCCATATAAATGGGATATACGTTATTAAACTTTTTTATAATTAAATATTCTATATATATAGATAGTTAAATAGTACTTAAGTATTAAATATCTTCAACAGTCAATTATGCCAAAAAATGTGGGTGTTAAAACTTGCATTTTAATAACGTTAAGTCTTAATAAATTAAGTTGCCATGTGTCAGTTTAATATGTTGCCAGTAATTTATTATTATTAAATATAGAGACTATTTTAAATTGAGTCCAATTTTTCGGCCAAATTGCAATCCCAAATATATTGCATACCAGATTGTTCGGCCTAATTGCATACCATATTGTTTGGCCTGATTGCATACCAGATTGTTCAATCCCAAATATATTGCATACCAGATTGTTCGGCCTAATTGCAAGGTTTTAGTTATATATATAGATAGTTAAATAGTATTTAAATATTAAATATTAAATATCTTCAACGGTCAATTATGCCGAAAAATGTGGGTGTTAAAACTTGCATTTTAATAACATTAAATCTTAATAAATTAAGTTGCCATGTGTCATTTTAATATGTTGCCAATTGGCATTCTAATAATTTGCCATTTGGCTAAATGAGAAGGCAAACTTCTTTGCTTTAATATATATATAGATATAGATTTTTTTTCGTCAAATTTTAATTACTATACTAGTAACTTTAGCTTATTAATGTATTTTTCAACCTATGTATAATTAATACATATATTAGTTATACACCTATTGGTATACATAACAAATCATAATATTAGCAATACCACGATTCTTAATTTATGGATAAGCATGTATAAGTATAGAATTGGCCTTTCAAAATCTTTTTCAAATCCTTTTCGTTATACTTTTATAAAGAATATGGAGAATATTTTTATAAATAAATAATTTTAAAAAAAAATGCAATACATGATATTTTTAATACACTAAACCAAACAATTAAACGTTCTACTTCCATGTTGTTCAATATTTGGCCTTTGGTAAGCTTAATATCTGCTTCTCGTCATCCTTCTTCTTTCTCTTCTGTAAGATGTTAACTGTTCGAAATAAAGGCTCCCTCTTCTCTTTTTTACAGTTATTGTTATATGTTTACATGATTTTTCAGTTTCATTTGTATTTACAAATTGCCAGAGAAGGTTAGGGTTATGTAAATTGTGGGAATAAAACTATTAAGATTATTTAGGCTACTAGTTTGATGTCATACACTATATATACAGCCTAAGCTGTGAAACAGTCAGGTTTATAAGCTTAATAGAATCAAAAGGTGATGGGCTTCTCGTTTCTATTTTTTTATTTAATATTTAATTTGTAGGGGAGCCTTGGAACAACGGTAAAGTTGTGTCTCGTGTGACTTATAGATCACGCGTTCGAGCCGTGAAATCAGTTACTGTAAGGGAGCCAACGGTAAAGTTGTTTTCGTGTGACCTATAGGTCATGAGTTCCAGCCGTGAAATCAGTTACTGATACTTGTATTAGAATAGCTACCTACATCACGCCCCCTTGGTGTGCGGCCCAGCCTTCCCTGGACCCTGCGTGAATGCGGGATACTTTGCGTGTGTGGGGCTGTCCCTTTTTTTAGAATAAGAAATCTGTATAATCCTCTAAATTCATGCGGTAGAAATCTTTTTTCTTTGATGGAACATGTTATAAAACAAAAGCTTTATCTTCTTTTTTGTACTCTTTATGGATGTTAGTTTTCTCGGGTATGTGCAGACGTTCAATGATTGTGCTTGGCGTTTCATGTTTGGTGCAGCTATAGGTTCTGTAATTGTGTTGAAATACACTTAATGGTGCTAAATATGACATTATTTTTCAGTTCTCATTATTGTGGAGTGAAGATACTAACAGTTAAGGCATTTTAATTTGACAGTTTGAACAACAGTTCTGGCCAGATAGTTTTGGAGATTCCTCACCTTTCTATTCTTGTTTATTGTCTACAGGTTTTGATTGGCGAGAATATTATCATATGATGCCTCCTGACTACAAAAAACATTGTAGTAAAACTTTACTTCTCGATATGCTTAGCAACCTTCCCGAGAATGTAATTGATGATATTCTTACGTGTTTGCCTTTACGAGATGCTGTGAGGACAAGCATCTTATCGAAGCAATGGAGGCGTAACTGGTGCAGACTTCCAGTGTTAACGCTTGATCAAGCACTTTGGGAAACAACAAATAACTCAATACCCCTTGCAATTCGGTTTAAAGACATTATCTACGACCTTTTGACCCTCCATGTCGGACCAATTACTAAGTTTACCCTCTCGAGTATTGCCAATCTGGGAAATTACCCTAAAATTGACAACCTGGTATCTTTCCTCTCAAGAAATGGCATTCAACATCTTTCTCTTCAATTTCCCAAGGATAACCCATACAAATTGCCTTCTTCATTTTTCACATGTTCGCAAATGAGACATTTGAGACTCCAAAATTGTTCAATTCAGCCTCCATCTGCCTTCAGAGGATTTGATGAGTTAGTTAGCCTTGAACTGTATGACATAACATTTTCATCCGAATTGCTTAATATTTTAATCTCTCGTTGCCCGTTGCTCGAGAAGTTGGTGCTGCAAATCTCAAGTATTTTAAACCACATCCAAATTGATGCTCCCAAGTTGAGATCCTTCGACTTCAGTGGCGGTATAAATGATATTTCGTTGATGAAAGCACCTCTTCTTGTGAAACTTTCACTTTTTAATACAGCAGTACCTTCTGGGGAGGCTGGACAACTTGATCTTGCCAATTACTTTGCGTCTTTTCCTGCCTCGAGCATCTCAACTTGGATTACCTTAGTGTCCAGGTAAATGTTGCACCGTGGCTTCAGTCTTATGCATTTTCATAGATGTACCATCTTTTGGGCTTTGAGTGTTCCTGATTTACGATGTTCTCTTCTTAGTTCTTGGCTGCAGCATCAGGCAACGTACCAGCAAAGCTTTCCTCTCCTCTTCATTGTCTTAAACATCTTTGCTTAACCACCATTTGTCTGGATGAATTAGCTGAGCTGTCGTATGCTCTTTGCTTGATAAGAAGCTCCCCGTATTTACAAGATATTCAAATGAAGGTGCTAATGAAGTTTACTTCTCTTTTTTTTTTGGGTCCTTTGTGTTGAATGTGTTCTTCTTTATGTGGTGATTTGCTTATGTTCATAGTATTTCTTTCTATTATTTAATTTATGAGTTATTGATTTTCTTTATCTTTCTTAGGTGTATTATGTGGCATTGGATAAATTGATTGATCCTGTGCCCGGTGATGTTGTCAATGATATTCCTGCAAGCTTCTCAGGTGTGACACTAAATCACCTCAGGGTTGTTAAGCTTGAAGGTATTACAGGCACAAAGCCTGAAATTGAGCTTATCAAGCTTCTATTAGCCAAGTCTCCCGTGCTGGTGAAAATGCTAATCCAGCCCAACACAGGAAAAGTATTTGCTGAAACGAGGCTAAAGATAGTTGCAGAGATAACAAAATTTCCAAGAGCATCACCTAAAGCAGAAGTTCACTATAACATAGATAACAATCTTGTTTGATCGCTAGTCTTTTATCATACAATGATATTGGCGTAAATTTTTGTAAGTTAAGATGAACAGATGTTAGTTATGGTGTATGCTGTAGAATATTGGCTGTGTTTTGCGAACATACACCAAACTTCATGTTGATGTTCTGGTAAGGCTGTTTACATTGTTAAAAAGCTAAGGGTGTTCACATTTCATTCTGAACTTAAATGATGTTCGAAATGAGATTTTGGTTTCTGAATTTATACTGTGCGTTGTTTTATTTCAAAGTTATGTTTTAGTTTGATTCTCCACATTGATCAAATTGCTGTGGCAAGCAGAGTTATGTTTAATTTGATTCTATAAAAAGGGCTGCCTGGTGCATTAAGCTCCTGTATGGCGAGGTTCGAGGAAGGGCCAGACCACAACGGTCTGTTGCAAACATTCGTACCCTACATTTTTGCAAGAGACAATTTTCATGGCTCGAACCTGTGACCTCCTGGTTACATATCAAGCTAGCGAGACAAGTATTTCATAGGTTAATTCAAAATTGGATTTTTGATTTGGGGAAGATGACCGGAGAGGGGGGATTTGGAAGGGTTAGCTTTGGTTTGGGTTGAGTTAATTATTTGGGTAAGTTTTAACCGGATGGGGTTTGGGTTAATCGACCTAACCGAGGTTAAAATTAATTGGGGCATGGGTTAATCCGGACCAATGAAGACATTACACGTGGAAATATTAGTGTTAAAAAAATTTTAAAAAAAAATTGTGCCGTTAGTTTAATAATGGCATGGATTGGGCCAAGTGTGTAACGGCAGTGGCATGGAAATAGCAATTTTTTAACGGATGACATGGATAGACCATTTCTGAAAGTTGAGTGGCATTTTTAGGCCTTTTCCATTTTTTAAATAATCATTTCTTTTCTCTCAAGATGAATTCTAGTCTGTGAGAATGCTTTTATCTTCTGTAATTAGTACTCTTTTTTCTTGGTTATGTGAATGTGTTCTAATTTCAAAGTGTTTGCTGTAGCTACTAGGTTCTATATTTTGTTGAGATGAACTTAGTATTGTTTAATATGAGAGAAATCTTTATTTTCTTTTGTGGTTATACTTGCCAAGTAAGCTCTGGATTGTGCTAATTGTGAGAATAAAGCTGTACTAAGCTTATTTAGCTATTCAGATTTTAGTAGGAAAACTACTAGTTTGAATTCTAAGCATTGATAGTGTAAAAAATATTAGTGCAATCATGTCACTTAAAAGGTAATCGCGATTAATTGGAACTATCTCATTTTGATTTAATGGCTTTGGAGTAGGCTGAAGCATTCAATTTAGAGAAAAACTCATACGGCATTGTAGTTAGACAAGAGTATTTGAAAATTTTCTTGAAGATAATGTGCGTACACAATTGGTTTACTCAGCTAGAAAATACATGCGATGTAGGCATTTTATAATTGTGTGACCCAAATCCATGTACAAGTTAAATTCTGACAATATTTAATACCTCTTGTACAAAATCCTATGTCCGGTACTCCAAGGATTGAAGGCTGAAGTGCTTATCCATCAGCAAAGTTCTCTTTTTATTTTCACTTTCATCTTCATTTAATAATGATAATAAGAATCGGCTAAATGCTATTTTAATTTAAAGGTTCTTTCACCATTAATTTTAGGATTTAAGTAATATATACTAATAGTGTAAAATTTTACATTATCGATTAATTTTTACATGTGATGGTTGATTACTAATTGACATTTATTAAGATATTGACGAATAATTAACTAATAAGACTTGATTGTGTAAATATAACCCGGTACATGTTCAAGAATCTAAGCTTATTTAAGTGCTAAAATGGTATTACTTCCATCTCGACTTAACAATATAGTATGATGCAGCTATTAAGGAATAATGCTAATTGTCATTCTTTGGGGG